GATAAGTGACATTAAGAACTGGCACTGCCGGCAAAACCACTGTCTCCATCTGACGGTAAGTGGGGGCTTATTTAGCACGCGGCTGTTTGCCAGCCCCCACTGAACACGAGAGCATCCCACGGGATGCAGGGATCGGCTGCAAGTGGGAAGCTCCCCACAGCCCCCAGAACAATCCCCCTGATGTGCTAAAAAGGCCTCGGGCAGACCCTACCTCAGCCTCCAACTTGCTGTGTGACACCAAGCCAGGTACTTAACCTCTCTGAGCCTGCCGCTGCACCTAGAAATTGGGGAGGGACGATTCCAACCACTTGGAAAGAATATACAGAATGTCTGGCACATACCAGGCCCCTGAGAAACAGTACCCAGGAGGGCTGCTGCCCTTCTGTTCACAGGACGCGCATTCCTGTCGTGCAGGGCGGCTGAGCCCACCTGGGTTGCTCCCTCCAGGCTCCCAAATCTGAGGCTGCCACCTTCAAGGCTCCGCTCATGGCTGCCCAGCGTAGGGAGGCTGCTGGCCACAGCCAGACGTCAGGCCAGGCGTGACCCTGGCAGGCATCTTATCCAAGCACCTGGGCCTGCGGAGAGAGCCCTGCGGTTCAGGCAGGCTGGGCAAGCGGCCACAGTCTCCCGGCTGGGGTGACGCCAGAGTCGGGCTCCAAGGCCCTCGGCCCCACTCTTGGAGAGCAGACCCACCACATCTGGCTACAGGGCCTGGGCAGCCCCAGCGCCAGCCTGCAGTGGCTGTGAGGCTTGAAGGATGAGGACGAGATTTAGAAGGTGCTCAGCGAGCGCCTGGGTTATGCTCAGGACCTAGCAGCTGGAGCCATGCCAGGGAGGAATCTGGACCATCCTGGGACGACTTTGGGCTGGAAAACCAAACCAAGAGGCGGCCAGAGAAGGCCTGGCAGGCCCTGAATGCAGCCTCACTGCTTGGAACCACGTGGAGACAGCCCTGTGGGAGTTAGGCAGGGCTCCCAGGGCCCTGGAGGGTAGGGGCCAGGGTTGCAGCTTTGGGAGCCTGGGGAGCAGGCACAGGAGGAGAGTGTGGGGGGCCCCCATCTCACCTCCTCCTTCTGGGGTCATCCATCAGCAACCCTGTTGTGGAGCTTTTACAAATGGGAAATGAACCGGCAGAGAGATCGGGGGTGTCCTGGCCCTGCACTGCCCTAAACCATGTGTGCCCTTGGGAAAGTCATTCCCCAGCTGAGACGCGGACAGTCCTCATCCCAGGAGTCCCTCCCACAGCGCACTGTGTCCCCACACCCCCCCAAGAGCCCTGTGGAGGCACTGGCATTTTCCCCATCTTACAATGGAAACCCAAGACATCTAGAAGTTAAACAGTTTGCCACAATCACGGAGTTGTCAAACGGCAGAGCTGGGAACTGAACCGGGGCAGTCTGTCTCCATTTCATGCGGGGCTGAGGACCACCCCTTACAGCCTCCTGAACCTTCCCGAGCACCTCAGCTCCCAGACGCCACAGGGAAGGGCCAACACAAGTTACAGGTGGGAAAACGGGGTCTCGGGAGGGAGGCCTGTCCCTCTCAGGACCCCATGGCATGATGGGGGCCACACTGGGGTTTGAACTGTGTCCCCCATCTCCCAGAGCTGACCCCCATGCCCGACCCTAGGCTCCCCACCCCATCCCTCTCCTTTCTCAATCCTCAGTGGATTACGATCCTGGAACACTATGATCAAGGAGGGAGGAGGACACAGAAAAATTGAAATAAAGGAATAACACTCTTTGTGAATAAATGTTTTTAACATATTCTTTTTCTAACAGGCTCATATTATCGCCCCCCAAACCAGGCACTGCAGATAAAAAAATAAAACTAGCAAAACAAAAGGAACAAATTATTCAAGCCCCAGGGGAACCCAGGCATTCAAATAAGATTTCAAACGACTCTCTTTCTATTAAAACTTTTGCTGCAGTGAAACTGCACGGAGATAAGGCAGCTCGTCTTCACAGGCCACAGGGCTGGGGCTGCCCGCCAGCTCTGGCCCCTCCAGCCCCTCACAGTCCAGCACAAGGAGTGCATACAGGGGGCGTATCTGCCTCGAAAGCAGGTGCACACTCAGGGGTGGGCGCCGGGGCGGGAAGGCCGCCTGAGCCTTTCTGCATGCCCCAAGTGTCCTCCAAGGACAGGGCAGCTCCTGCCT